TCGTTTTTTACTACATGCCTATAAATATAAATACGGTACATACACCAAAATAACATTTTTTACAATTTTGACTGTCTGTTCGTTCCGGCTAATATCTGAAATGGCTGGACCGATTTTGACGGGACTTTTATTAGCAGGTAGCTGATAAGGAGTAATTTAGGCTACTTTTATTTTAGAAAAATAAAGTTAAATTCCACGCGGACGAAATCGCGGGTGCAGCTAGTGTAAAATATAAGGAAATCTAATACCGTACGACCACCCAAGTTGACAAATATATAATAATTATTATTATTATTGCGCACAGATAAACACAAACACAGACCAATAGAATAACATACAATAAAACATCTCCCTTATCCTCTAATTTCACAGACTAATCAAATTCAAAATATCTTTATTCATGTAGGTCTATTACAGACTCTTATGATATGTCAAATGTACTGTCAGTTCGGAATGATTTCGAGATGAGAAGAACTGACAAGAAACTCAGCTCGTATTCTTTTCAAGTGAGGTGTTCATTTATAAATTCAAATTTGGGAGAATAGAGTGACTCTGATGGTCACTCTAGAAATGAGAAGAGAGGACAGGAAACTCGGCTCGTATTCTTTTCAAATAAATGTTGTACATGTTTACAATAATACATCTTCATTTTTAAATTCAAATTTGAGAGAATAGAGTGACCACCAGCTTGTGCTATTGCAATTTTGTTAAAAGGAAATAGTTTAATCAGTAGCCCTAATCAGAACAGATCACTTTCATCAACCAAAGCACAGGTTACAAACGTACAGCTAGTGTATTATATATATATAAACCTTCCTCTTGAATCCCTCTATCTAATAAAAAAAAACTGCATCAAAATCCGTTGCGTAGTTTTAAAGATTTAAGCATAAATAGGGACGGACAGACAGCGACAGCGACTTTGTTTTATACTATGCAACTAGCTACTCGCCCCGACTTGGCACGGGTGTACATGTATTATATATATAATCCTTCCTCTTGAAATCACTCTATCTAATAAAAAAAATCGCTTCAAAATCCATTGCGTAGTTTTAAAGGTTTAATACATACAATATATGTAATGCATACATAGGGACGGATAGACAGTGACAGCGACTTTGTTTTATACTATGTAGTGATGAAGTACTATTTAAAATCTTTAAAGTTAATAATTATTATTGTATTTATACTGAAACTAGCTGTGCCCGCGACTTCGTTCGCACGGAACAGAGGACGAATGAGCACTTTCCATTTTATCCCCTATTTTATTTAACCCCCTTATGGGTAAAAATAAATAAAATAGTTAAAAGAATAAATAAATAAAAATAAAATAGGTAAATAGTTAAAAGCTTAAAAAATAAGTTTCAAGCTTCTAGCTTTAAAAATGATGATACTTCCTTAGAACCCTTTATCTCCCATTACAACCCCTTACAACCCTTTCTACACAATAAAAGCCTTATGTCCTTTCTCACGGTCTAGACTATCTGTATACCAAATTTCATTTAAATCGGTTTAGTAGTTCTGGCGTGAAAGCGAGACAGACAGACAGAGTTACTTTCGCATTTATAATATTAGTCCTTACTAAAAATCCTTATTTTAGCCGTTTAGGAACGTCAAGTTTTTTGTATTAATATATTTTCTCTACCGTCCAGTTCAGTATACAGATTCAGTTGAGAAGAACTGGCAAGAAACTCAACTGAATTAAAAGAAATAATTTAGTTGAGTTTCTTGCTTATTCTTTTTATTCTTGACATTGTATACTTATTGTATTAAACTCGAATTCAATTTCAGAAATTATTTATTCATGTAGGACATTTTAGCCGCTTATGAACGTCAAATTTTTTACATTATAATTAAAAAATTTTCCCTACCGTCCGTTCGGTATATAGATCCAATTGAGAAGAACTGGCAAGAAACTCAATTGAATTACTTTTTTTTTTTAAAAGTCCGTTTATTTACAATGTATATTTATGAGACAGAAAGACAGACAGAGTTACTTTCGCATTTACATATATTAGTAAGGATAAAGTTATTATATTGACTTACCTATTTCAATAATATTGTTTCTAACAGATAAATAATAATACACCAGTAATAATAATTATTATTATTAATAATAATAATTATAAAGTTAATTACAATAACAACAAATTAAATAAGTTATATGAGATACAACCGAGCACTGTTCAAGTTTTAGAATACTATTGAAATTGGTTGTAACATTTTACAATTGCGTTGTGTAACAATATTTTTGTAGATATTGATTGTATCAACTATTTATTATCTATACATATAAATAAAATTGGAGTGTCTGTTTGTAATATTGAAATAACAGTTTTTTACTACATGCCTATGAATATTACGGTACATATACTATTATAAAATAACATTTTTTACAATTTTTGTCTGTCTGTCTGTTTCACCATCACGTATTTCTGCACTTCCTGAAGGATGACTGGTAGAGAATGCTTATAGCATTAAGTCCCCTTGTTGTCCCATAATTTATTGGCCAATAAAGTTTTAAATAAATAAATATCTAAAATGGCTAGACCGATTTTGACGGGACTTTTATTGGCGGATGGCTGATGTTATAAGGACCTTTTACCATCGCACCGCTCGCCATCGACAGGGAATTGATCTCCACACGCTGGAACCTAAGTGGTCTCGGACAGTGCGGTTTCAGAGGAGCTTCCTCCCGCGTACACTTAGATTGTGGAATGAACTACCTGCTGAGGTTTTCTCACAAGACTACAGCATGGGTTTTTCAAGGGTATATTAAGGTTTCTTAAGGCAACGCGCATGTGACACCCCTGGTATATCAGGTGTCCATAGGCTACGGTAACCGTTTACCATCAGATGGGCCGTATGCTTGTTTGCCACCTACGTCATATAAAAAAAAAGTAACTTAGGCTACTTTTATTTTAGAAAAATAAAGTTAAAATCCATGCGGATTAAGTCGCGAGTACAGCTAGTCTATATATGTATATCTAGCTATTTATGCTTGTGTGACTTTGCGTAGATATCACTAATGATAACACATATCTCATACTGATAAGATTTGTGATTGGTACCTATAAAGTTTAAACTCCATTACGCAGTACATATGTCACTTGTTCTCCTCTACAGACTGTTCCTACGGATTGTAATGCAGTTTTCAGCAATAGATAGAGTGATTCAAGAGGAAGGTTTATATGTATAATAATAATAATAATCTTAGGACAATTCACACTGCGCCATATAGACCAAAGTTTAATTTTTTTTGTAAATACATACATATTATATATAGAAAGTGGCACCGGTGTCGGAGAGGTTGAAGAGTAATCGTCTATCATGGTATGGACATGTAATGCGTAGGAATGAGGATAATATTTTAAGAAAGGTGTTACATATGAATGTGGATGGTTATAAGGGCAGAGGAAGGCGGAAAAAGAGATGGATGGACTGTGTGAAAGATGATATGGTAAGAAAGGAAGTAAATAACGAGATGACTGCGAACAGGGATGAATGGAAGCGAAAAACATATTACGCCGACCACAAATAAATGGGATAAGGAAGAAGCAGATGATGATGATACATATTATATATAGAAAACACCCAGACCGATACAAACAATCGTACTCATGAATACAAATATTTGTGCCGTGCGAGGAATCGAACCCGCGATCATCGGTCGTAAAGCGGTGTGCTAGACCGCTAGACCACCGAGGTCGTTAAAATGTATAATGTATAGTGTATAGTGTATAATATACATGAATAAAATAGAATAGAAAATTTCAATTTTAAGCACTTTTGAATAGTCATAACATTTTTTTTAATCTACCGCTCATTCGGAAAGCTGTCTCATCACACGAAAAACGAGCGAGAAACTTGTGTGTTGCTATTTTAAATAATCCTTGTAAGTTCACAGTTTACAAGTCGAAACGTGTGAATACAAACTACCAACCAGCACTAATTTATTAGGGTTAAATATAAATCTATACATAAAAATATAATTGGAGTGTCTGTCTGTCTGTTTGTAATATTGAAATAACCGTTTTTTACTACATATATATGAATATAAATACGGTACATACACCAAAAAAACACTTTTTACAATTTTTGTCTGTCTGTCTGTCGGTCTGTTTGTTCCGGCTAATCTCTGAAATGGCTGGACCGATTTTAACGGGACGTATTTAGCAGGTAACTGATGTAATAAGAAGCAACTTAGGCTACTTTTATTTTAGAAGATGTCTTTTATTTTTGAAATATTAAGTTAAATTCCACGCGGAGGAAGTCGCGGGAACAGCTAGTATACAATAAGATTAAATCAGTCGTAGTGATAAGAGAGATACATGCGTGTTACAGTATAAAAAAGGCCGGGAAATACAAAGATTTGTAATACATCCGAGCGAAGCCGTGATGGATCGCTAGTGTACAATACTGATGAACCGAGTCATCCGCACCCCCCTAAGAGGGTGCAGGTTGGGTCCTCGGGGGGAGCCAATGACTTCGGAGGCAACAACCCCCTGGGAGGCTGGATTTCAGCGCTTTTATATAGGCAAGAAATTGACAAGAAAAAATCAGGGTGTTCTTTATGTGAATAAGTAAATACACTTAACGTGTGTTAAAAAAAACATTATATCGCGAACACTGCGGAAATTATTCACAATAGAGCAAAGTGATTCACTTTAGTTTTATATTTAGCTCCAAGTAAGTTAATTTCACAATAATAATTAACATTATATGACTTTAAAAAAAAATGTGTATAAAATTATATATATATATATATATATAAAATAATTTTAATTCATAAGTATAATACCACTCTGAAATTATACAAATTGAAATAAAAAATAATCATAAAAATCGGTCACAATCCAATATAATATCGGACATGCGCGCAAAAATAATGACTTAACTATTTATCTACCACGCTCTCTTTTGTTGAAGTCTAAAAATATATCTAAAGTGTTTAAGAATACAGTGCATTATTGATAGTTTTAATTAAAAACAAATACACTTACATTTCCATTAGTTGTCTCCATATTCGACTCCATAACTAAAGAAAATCACTACGACACTAGACAATCACTAACTTTACAAAATAACAAAATTCGTTCCCAAAATCGCAGTATCCAATAACGATTGCAAAACTGTAATAACAGCTATGCATCGAAAAATTTGTATTATATAGGGCGCTGCCAACACCCCCCGTTAGCGCCCTTAAGATCGCCAGAATAAAAAATCCGTTTACACGCGTTAAGTTACTGGCGAGTACCACTGGCGTAACAGACTTACGCTTTTCAGTATCGCATGTGCGCTGTTTTTTTTTTTTTTTTTATTTAATATTTTACGGCTCTGGATACAAGTCCTTTTTAGCCCAACATAAGATAAACTCGGCTACTTGCCATGTCTAACTAAACTGTTCCCCGATAGTAGGTAGATCTGATTTTTATAAGAAAGTTTCATATTATTTCATACATATATATATATATTACTAGCTTTCACCCGCGGCTTCGCTCGCATAACTTCATTGGTTGCTAGATGGCGCTAAAGTAGCATAATGTTGATATTTTATTTTTTTCTTCTTTATATAAAATATATGTTTTTCTTTTTAAGAAAAAGTATCCTATGTTCATACTGATACCTCCAAGTGTATCTATGTGTAAAAAATTTCATGACGATCGGTTCAGTAGTTTTTGCGTGAAAGCGTAACAAACATTCCTACATTTACATTTATAAAATTACTAGCTGTACCCGCGACTCCGTCCGCGTAAAATACTGATCTTGACCAAATAATTAAAAAAATATTTAATGACCTTACAACCTTTCTATCGCATTTAAAAGTAGCCTATGTCCTTTCTCAGGATCTAGACTATCTGTGTACCAAATTTCATTTAAATCGGTTCAGTAGTTTTGGCGTGAAAGCGAGACAGACAGACAGAGTTATTTTCGCATTTATAATATTAGTAAGGAAAAGTAAGGATTAAGGATATTGCAAAATTAAAAAATATATTTATTAATAACCAGGGACCCATCCCGGCTTCTCGCACTTTCTCAAATTCCTCGGCTTGTTCCATACTATAACACGCATGTATTATACATATAAACCTTCCTCTTGAATTACTCTATCTATTGCTGAAAACTGCATTAAAATCCGTTGCTTAATTCAAAAGATATAGACGAAAAGACAGCGGCAACGATTTTTTTTTATACTATGTAAAATACAGCAATATTATTAATAAAAAAAAAATAGAACTATGTTGTATGAGTGTATGTTATATCCCATTCGCGAAATAACTTTAATACAGATATACTTGATTATGGATGTTTTATTATCTGTCAAAGTTATGAAAGTAGCTATGGATTGTTGTCTATGGTTAGATACTACTTTTTTTTTATTTATTAAGTCACCAAACGTAACACGTAACATAAGCAATTCAAATTCAAAAATTATTTATTAATGTAGGACCTTTTAGCCGCTTATAAACATATTTTTTTTATTATAACTTTTTCCTTACCCTCATTAATAAATATATAATATCATTAAACAAGTATAGATTTTTTAAATTATATCATTAAAGAAGAGCACAGACAGATCAACAACAATAGAAGGGAAACAGATATATGTGTATCTTCTCTTTTGTATATGTATAATAAAATATTTTTTTATATTCTCATTGTATAATGTATATTTATATTTTTCTGCTTCAGCCGTCATTTGATACAAAACTTTTAATTGTTTAATATGTTTCTCTTGAAGGGATGCTATGTTATGATTATATAAATACAGATTAGCTAAAGATAAGAATAAACAGTACTTGATAATAAAAATCTGTCTATGGCTATTATAAGTTACGACTATACTATAAATACATATAAACAAATATAGATGAGTCGGAGACAAGAATTATAATAAAAAAAAACTGTCCATAGCTATAAGAATCAATGACCATAAACTACGTAATATATTAAGCTGAACAATCGGAAAAACTAGCAACACTGCGAGGTTTTTCCACCGGAATAAACGGGTTTGACGCGTGAAGTGACGTAGCTATACAATATTCACCCTACAAAAATGATTGCAATCAGAAATGATAATCTGTGATAATGACAATGACAGTCAATCATTAATTAATAGTAGATATATGTATATATACTAGCTGATCCAGCAAACGTTGTTTTACTATATAAATTTACTAGCTCGCCCCGGCTTTGCACGGGTGTACATGTATTATACATATAAACCTTTCTCTTGAATCACTCTATATATTAAAAAAAACGCTTCAAAATCCGTTGCGTAGTTTTAAAGATTTAAGCATACATAGGGACCGACAGACAGCGACAGCGACTTTATTTTATACTATGTAATGATGATAAAATGATGATGATGATGAAATTTTGCAATAGCATATGCTGGTGGTCACTCTATTCTCTCAAATTTGAATTTAAAAATGAATATTTATTATTGTAAACATGTACAACATTTATTTGAAATGAATACGAGTAATAGTAGCTAGTTGCATAGTATAAAACAAAGTCGCTGTCGCTGTCTGTCCGTCCCTATGTATGCTTAAATCTTTAAAACTACGCAACGGATTTTGAAGCGGTTTTTTTATTAGATAGAGGGATTCAAGAGGAAGGTTTATATGTATAATACACTAGCTGTACGTTTGTAACCTGTGCTTTGGTTGATGAAAGTGATCTGTTCTGATTAGGGCTACTGATTAAACTATTTCCTTTTAACAAAATTGCAATAGCACAAGCTGTTGGTCACTCTATACTCCCAAATTTGAATTTAAAAATGAATCTGTATTATTGTAAACATGTACAACATTTATTTGAAAAGAATACTGAGTTTCTTGTCACTTCTTCTCATCTCGACATCATTCCGAACTGACGGTACATTTGACATATCATAAGAGTCTGTAATAGACCTACATGAATAGAGATATTTCGAATTTGAATTCAAATTCATACTAATATATCCATAAAAACAAAGAAGAGAAATTTCCCTATATAATTTTAATGGATGATAATGGTGTACCCAACGGTGGATCCTGTGGAGGGGTCATGGGGGTCATGACCCCCCTGACCCTAGAACTTAGACGGACCACTAATTGAACATAATGATTTTATTTATATATTTTGTCACCATACAGATTGTATGTAACTCCATACCTTCAATATTTAATTAATTATATTTAAATAATATTTCTCTGGATGTCTTCCAGAGAATATGGCGATATGTACGTGTATATATGTACAAGTTATTATGTGTTAAGTTTTTCAAGTGTACAATAAAGAATAAATATTTTTAAGTTAACTAAATATTACATTAATAAAATACCTACTTTTACTTGTATATATTGTTATCAAAATTAAATTATAAGTTCATAACTTGACCACGACTATGTGACCCCCTCCTGGCGCCAAAGCTGGAACCTCCCTTGGGTGTACCCGGCTACCCTAACAGTTTACGCTGGCAGGGCACCAGAGAATATAATAGAATGGACATGAGACCAACTCAATTAACCTCACAGTAATAAATTCACCATGAGTTTATCACGATATTCTCCATGGGGTACCGCATGGAGATCAATCTGACTGATAAACCACATTGCTAATCATCTTACTAATATTATAAACGCGAAAGTTTAAGTATTGATGGATGTTTGTTACTCTTTCACATAAAACTACTGAACGCATTCTGATGAAACTTCACAGTAATATAATTATAATCTCTAATCTCAGCACAATTCACACCTTAAGACCCAAGTTAAGCTAGCTAAAGCTTGTGTTATGGGTAGTAGATAACTGATACAAATACATAGATTTTTTTTTGTAAATACATACATATTATACATAGAAAACACCCAGACAGATACAAACAATCATACTCATGAATACAAATGTTCGTGCCGTGCGAGAAATCAAACCCGCGACTATCTTTTTTTACATGCTTATGTATTTATTTATATGAATATAAATACGGTACATACACCAAAATAACATTTTTTACAATTTTTGTCTGTCGGTCTGTTTGTTCCGGCTAATCTCTGAAATGGCTTTTTGAAAATATTTTGACGGGACTTTTTTTGGCAGGTAGCTGATGTAATAAGGAGTAACTTAGGCTACTTTTATTTTAGAAATCTAAAGTTTAATTTCCGGACGCGGACGAAGTCGCGAGCACAGCTAGTATATTAATAATATACTGGTCGCCCAATAATAGAAATTTTACTAGAATTAATTAGAAGTTTGAATATTGTCAAATACTATAAGGGGCGTCCACAAATTACGTAAGATGTTTAAGGGGGGAGGGGGTCGAGTCAAATCATGTCAAATATCATGAAATTTTTTTCTGATTGAATTTAAAAAAATTAAGGATTTTGATCAGTTCTACCCCCAAGGGGAAAAAGTAGGGGATAACAGTTTATATGAAACTTTGTCAATTTAAACCGATCGGGCTGAGACTTTGCATGCATAAAGCTACGACGTAGGCATCCCCTAAGACAGGATTTTGATAAATTCCACCCCTAAGGGGATAAATTAACGCGAGCAAATCCGCAGTCAAAAACTAGTAAACTATAAGTGTGTTAAATTTCATCCGCCTCCGGTTTTTCCGCACAATTTTTCGTAAAACAGAGTACAAGTTTTTGCTTCACGTATTATAAAGCTGAAGAGTTTGTCTGTCTGTTTGTACGCGCGAACTCAGGAACTACAGATTCGAATTGAAAAATTATTCTTGTGTTGGATAGTCCATTTGTCGAGGAAGGCTTTAAGCTATATAACATTACGCTACGACCAATAGGAGCGGAGCTGCAGTGACAAATATTGCAAAAGGTACGGAATTGCGCGGGTCAGTATATAGTCAGTGTATAGATAATGAGCACCGAGAGGGGGAAGGGGATTGTTAGTAATGTGGATTGATAACCCCATTGCTAGCAATGTACCTTGTCAGGTCGACCTCCACGTGGTTCCCCATGGAAACCATCGTGTTTAATTCCTGGTGAATTAGTCACGATGGGCTAACTGACCTGACCTCATGCTCATCTTATCATCCTCCACTGGTGCCCCGCCAGCGTAAACCGTTAGCGCAGGCGGGTGCACCATTCCATTATCATCCACAAAAAAAAAAAAAAATGAGCACCGAGAGCCGG